TTAGTAAATGCTGGCTAAGGCTAGAGCCCTTGTATAATCTACAATCTGTTCTTCTACTTAGAGCAACCGTAAGAACAGTTGCCTATTGATAGGAATGGAACTGGGATTGAATATGAGGAAAATGACACCACTGTTTATAATTGCTTTAGATAGCTCTGAATTATCTTTATTCTATGTACAGTATTGTCTGATTCAAGAAAAGACTTTTCACCCTATTAAGATCATTTTGTTGTTTCTTTTCTTTCCATGTAAAAATATCAATTTTAGGTTTTAAATTTGAGTTGGCAGACTTGTTAAGGAGGATGAGGGAGGAGGTTATGGGCAAGTTTCCTACACACATGATTCAGCCAAACTAGAGAAAGGATAGAAAAAGTCTTAGATTCACTAGTTCAACCTTCTATCCAAAGAGTATATTCTCCTCTAGAAATGATGATTCTGCCTGTATGTGAATTGTCTAATGACTGCGCTCTCATGAGTTTGCCCTGAGCATATTGTTAGAGAACTATAGTTTGTAAGGCCTCATATTAAATTAATCAGGGATCTTCTCTTTCACATGGTATTTGAAAACTTTCACATATTTGAAGACTTCATCATAGCCTTCCCCTGTGTATGTTAAGCATCATCCGTTTTTTATTGGGTTTCCATGTGAGATAGTGTCTGGATCATACACCAGTGTGATTGTTCTTTTCTAAGTGAGGGTTGCTCACTTTCCTTCCTGGAAGAAGCCTGAAGTTGTTCATTGTTCTCACGTCATTGTTGTGATTTGAGGAAATGATTTCTCCTGCCCAGTTCAGGGGCAAATCATGATTAGAATGCCCCAGTCCTATTGAGGTCTCATTCTCCTTGCTAAGGGTTGGTTTAAGCGTGATTGTGTGACCCAATCCCAGCAGTGAGATCTGAGGGGAACTTGGCCAGAGGATGTTTGCAAGACTTTTTCCCAAATAAAAGATACATTGAGGAAATGCCTTTTTCCATTTTTGGAGATGTGGAACTGTCAGAAGTTGACACCTATAGAACTGCTGCAGTTAGCTTGAAAACATTAGGGGAGACATCACTGGAGTACAGGGATGCAAGGTAGGACAATTGAAAGTCCTGGGGCCCTTGAGGTCAAGTTGAGCAACTGAGTCAATGAGGGAGCACTGATTTCACATATCTTCTTGTATAGGAGATGATTAATCCTTTCCAGTTTCCATTTCTTTTAGTTTGCTCTTCTGTTACTTGCAGCTCAAAGCATCCTGGCTACTATGTACTCAATCCCTTGTAGTTTATTTCAATTCACCTGTGACCTCTGTTAATCAGCCATGAACTTAGTATTGTTTCTAGAATCATCTCTTGGAATTATTATATTTAACCGATATTCTTTAATGATTCATAAACGCAAGCAAAAGCATATGCCATGATTGACATGAAAATCAAATTGTCTTCTAAAACAATTTATGCTGGAATTAAGGCAACAGCACTTGGTGGTGTTTTTCTGCAGTGGGTTTAACACTGAATTGGGCTGATTTGGGCCTATGATTCTTCAAGTGAAGCTCCTCCACCCTATGTACATATACATTTGTTTAGCTAACACTTTGATACAGCTTCATCTTGCTAATAAAAGTAAGATTTTATTATTTTGTTTTTTGTTCACTCTGTTTTCCCTTTCAAACTTTCAAAATAAGTGCATTGAAAGTTCCTTCTGTTTTACTCTTACAGAACTATTTTCCCTATAGTACTCATTATTAAGGATAGAGTACTTAAGTGATGTTTTGAAGCATGAGGAGAAACTTTGCCATAGATTATTTGAACATATTGGTGGCTGAAATAAAGTATGTTCAGTTCCTGGCTTTAGACTCAGGAGAAGAGTTTTCTCTCCCAGTTTTGCCTTTCTCTTTATCCTCTCAGATTTATGCTTATAAACATGAGCAAGTATTTATTTCATGTGTTCTTTTTATACACAAAGTAGATCCCTGTGTCATTTCTACTATAAAGTATTTTTAATAGCTTTATTGAGCTGTGATTCACATAACATACAATTCATCTATTTAAAATGCAATGGTTTCTGATGTATTCATGGTGTGCCATTGTCACCAAAATCAATTTTAAAACATTTTCATTTTCTCAGAAATAAACCATGTGCCCATTAGCAGTCAGTCTCCATTTCCTCTCATTTCTTCCCTCTCCTTTCAGTTTTAGGAAACCACTAATCTATTTTCTGTCTCTGTGGATTTGCCTACACTAGACAATTTGTATAAATGGATGCATACAATATGTGGATTTTGCTACTGGCTTCTTCCATTTAGCATGTTTTCAAGGTTCATCCATGTTATAGCATGCATCGGTTCTTCGTTTCCTTTCATTGCAGAATTGCGTGCCATTGTATGGCTATACCATATTTTATTTACCTATTCTTCAAGTTGAGGGACAATGGCTTGTTTCCACTTTTTGGCCATTATGAATTATCTCATATTGTAATCTGAATCCATCTCTTGGCATCTTTCAGTTTTCATTACAACTTGCAATGTCAAATACATAGCCTATGCTATTTTCCTCTGATTTTATCTAGCATTTAAGTATGGCATTTCTATGTGTTAGACTTCGTTTACTGACCACTTAATTTCCTAAAATGTGTTTATAGCTTCACACAGAAAAGCAATGAAAGAGAGAAAGAAAACTCAGCACACATTCAAACAAAAATGCCCATACACACAAATCCCTGGATTTAAAAAGTTAGAGAAATTCACATGTGAATACATTATTTTTAACACATATAGTAATTGTAAACCTGGATTTAGGCTTAAATTGGAAAAAAGTATCCTGAGATGTTTAATGTTTATCCTTAAATGTCCAGGAGAAGACCATGATGACAGCTACCAACCTATTTTTTATGATCTTGGAAAGACATGAGAGGAATAAATTTTTATCATGCGTCATTCGCTGGGATTTTTGCAACTCTTTTACCTCCCCATTTAGATTTTGGTGAGGGTAGCAGGGAATTCTTTTATGATTTGTTTTTCTAGGAATAGGAGAAGGAACTGTCTGTGCATTTTTATGTTTGTATTTTTTCCTGAGAAGGGAAGTGCTTAGAAGCACTGGTTGCATTTGTGCACACACACACACACACACACACATTAGCTGTGCAGCCTGCTGCCTCTTTCCTGGTGCCATAGTAGTCCATATCTGAACTGATTTTTAAGTTCCCTGCAGCATATGATGATAAAAGCAATGGCTCTTCACTACGGTGATTACTTATCTGTTTATTTTGGCCCCATAAATATATAACTTTGTCTCCACTGAGAAAGACTGTGAGGATCTTGGATAGCCATTCTGCAACCCAACCCATTAGGCTTGTGTGGGTTCGAACTGGTGACCTATAGAACACACTACAGTGACTGCAGATGATCACCAAAATGACCAGTATTATTCTTTTCTACCAGGATTTTGAGGAATAATTAACTTAATAATAGTAAAAGCATGAAAAAGGAGTGGTTCAAATGCGAACATAAATGAGGTTTCTTGTACCATTTTTTTTCTTTTTTTTCATTCAGATGTCTTTGGGATTTCAGATTTCCCTAAAGGAAACATTACCTTTTAAAATTACATTAATTTATTCTAATACAGATTGTGCTTGATTACCTAAATGAACTAACTGTGAACAAGTATTAAACTACTTTATCTTTTGTAGGAAATTAATTTGTCAAACATTTGTGAGAATCTAGCCATTGTTAGGGAATGTGCTGAATAAGATACAAAGGCGACTCTCAATCAGGTAATTGTCTAGGTGCAGGTAAAGACATTTTTAACACAAGAGGGTAAGCTTTATGGTGGTAGGGATTCAAACTGTTTTTACTAAACAGTATATACAACTCCTAGCACAGTGCTTGACAGGTGGTAGGCTCTCAATAGGTATTTGTTAAATGAATGAATGCATAATTATCACATAATATAATTATTACATGTTGTACCATGTAATGGAAGTTTGAGGGACACAGATGAAACTGACTATCCTGGTGGTGGGGTAGTTTTACATATACACATCTTTTGATGGGATTGTGGTGACTGAGTAGGTTTTCACTAGGCAGATAAGGGCAGGGAACTAAATTATGAAAATTACTTCCTATGTTTCAGTCGTCATGAAGGATAAGTTATTTGACCCTTGCATTAACAGAGCAAGGTAGTATCATTACTCCATTGCATCATTGTTGTAGTGTTATAATATATTAGAATATATTATAAATTTTCTATCATTGTAGTATTACTCTTATTATACAGAAGGGAAAGCTGAGGTTTGGAGTCATTGAGTGACTAATCCAAGGTTAAAGAATTTTCGGTGGTGAGTCGAAGTCTTGAACTCAAGGATATCTGTCACCCCTTTCCACAGGAATGACAAGTAACTTCCCAGAGATTAATTTCAGGATGGAAAAACAGAAAGTTGCCTCTGTCTTGCTGCTAGTTAAAATGCATTGGTAAGCTTTTTCATGTAATTTGCCCTCTGGCACTCTGGGTGTTCCCATTTGGAGCAATCCCTCTGGACAGTCTTTCTCAGGTGTTCTTATCTGGGTAATCTCTTGATATAGTTTGGATATTTGTCCCCTTCAAATCTCATGTTGAAATGTGATTGCCGGTGGTGGAGTTGGGGTCTGGTGGAAGGTGTTTGGGCCATGGGGACCTTCTTGAATGGCTTGGTGCCATTGTAGCAGTAATGAGTGAGATCTGGTTTTTTAAAGGAGCCTGGCACCTTCCTCCTCCCTTGCTTTTTCTTGCTTAATTCCTCTTTTGTTTTCTCCTTCTTGCTGTGTGATGCCTGATCCACTTTATCTTCCATCAGGATTAAACGTTTCCTGAGGTTCTTGCCAGAAGTAGATGCCAAAGCTGTGCTTCTTGTACAGCCTGCAGAACTGCAAGACAAATAAACCTCTTTTTTTTATAAATTATTCAATACCAGGTACTCCTTTATAGCAATACAAAATGGACTAAGGCATCTCTCTTGGGTGCTCCTTTTCTGTCCTGTCTTTCAGAACTCTGTCATCACACCTGTGAGACACTCTAGCCACATGGAGAAGCAAATCCTTGAGATATCCTAGCCCAGGTGTCAAACATGTGCATGAGGATCCTCTAAATGTTTCTAGACCTCAGCCATTCAAGTCACTTCCAGCTCTTTAGATCTGTCCAGCTAGTCCCCAGACTTTGTGGAGCAAAGAGAAGCCATCTGCATTGTGCCTGTCTGAAATCCTGACCCATAGAACCCAGAGAAAACATGATGGCTGGAGCTGCAGCAGTCATCTAGTGACCATGAAGGAAAGGCCATGAGAATTGCCCAGGTGCCAGCCTCCACGTCATTAAGTTGTGGAACCAATATCAGTAGCCACTTACTGAACTTTTTGTCAAGGCTTCCATTTCATGTTAGTATTGTTGGAGAGCACCAGCACATGGTTCTGTGTGGGGAAAGGCTGTGAATATTTAAACTGGTAGCTACAGCACTGATGTAACTGATGAATAAACCAACATCAGCTCTGTTTAGCCTTTTCTCCATGACAAATATGCAGCCTTGGATGAGAAAGCCATGAGAACAGGAACAGGGCACTCCTAATCTGCAGGGGAATGTTAGCACATGGAATGAGTCTTTGGAGTCGACCAAGATTTCTTCAGTAGGATACAAAGAGCAGTAACCATGAAAACCGTGGATAGATTAGACTTCAAAATTAAAACTGCTCATCTCAAGACAGCATTGCAATAATGAACAAATAACAAATAATAAATTGAAATATTATAAAAAATATTCACAACACATATATATGACAAACAACTTGTATCCCAGATATTTAAAGAAAGCCTATAAATCATCAATAAAAAGACAATCTATTTTTTTTAATGTGCAAAAGAATTGAACCAACATCTCACAAAAGAAGATATACAAATGTTGATAAATACATAAAATGTATAGTGTGTTCATATAATGAAATATTACTCAGCAATAAAAAGAAGAAACTACTGATTCATGCAACAATATGGGTGAATCTCAAAAGCATTATGCTGAATAAAAAAGCCAGATTTAAAAAGTCTGCATATACAATGATTTGATTGATATGAAGTCCAAGAATAGAAAAAACAATTTATGATGTTAGAAATCAGAAAGTGGTTGCCTGGGGAAGGGAGAAAGAAACTGACTGGAGAAAGGCATGAAAACTTTTTGAGACTGACAGATATGTCCTGTGTTTTGATCTCACTGCTGGCTACACAGGGATTTGCAATTGTGAATACTCATTGTATTGAATACCTAAGACCTGTTCATCATTGTGTCTTGTGTTAATTTTAATTAGATAAAAAAGACATACACGAAAGTAATAGTAATTTTTCTCATCATAATTCTTGTAATAAAAAAAGTGAAAATCCAAATTGAATAGATGTATTTCACTCCATGGGACTTACTGAAATTATTTTTATTATGGATGGACAAAATTCATGCTGGGAGAAATTTCATTTTTCTTGAATTGTTCTTTTTGTATAAAGTTCTCACTCGCACTGTGCTGTATCTTCACTGGAAGAAGGAAAAGTGTGTTCAAAGTCTTGTGAGAATATAAGTTCTCAAGGAGGTTGCTGTGCCTGTTGCAAAAGGTGTGATTTTGTATCTGCTTTGGGCCAGGTGCTGAAGGCACTCTAGGCCTACTTGAAGAATGAACTGGCAAGCGATGAAGTGGTTTGGGACTGAGTGAACATCATATGCATTGCTAAAAAGTTCAGACTGCAGTTTTTCTAGGAAAAGCAGATATTCATGGAAGTTTTTAAACAAGGAAATAATTTTTTTTCCCCCATTCAACAACTTAACTGATTTTGTGGAAAGCAAGCTAAAATTTGGAGAAACTAGTGACAGGGATATTCATGTGTGGGTGTGATATTTTTGCTATTGAGAAATTTCTCCACAATAAACATATCTTTTAGATACTAATATCTTAGCATATTTTGATGTATGATTATAAAATGGAATTTAGACCTTTGTGTCTACTGAATTTTGTTTGAAAAATGCTATGAAGCTCATCTTTCATTTGCCGATTTTGATACTTTTTTGTGTAATTAGTATTATATAATTATCACCATTTTTTTTAGGCAGTAACAAGTAACCTTTATCAAAATTGTGAAGTTTCAAATATTAGTGGTATTTTAAAGTATTTTGGTTTATTCTTATTTGCAGTAGAAAAGCTCTTAACTAATTTTCTGCATATATTTTGAAATTTTGCATTGGTATTGTTAGATATAGTTCTTTTAAAAATCGTAAGTAACCATCTCAGTGAATTTGTAGACAATTGAGGAGTGAAAAAAATACAAAAATAATTGGAGAAGGAAGCAACTATTTTAAGAAAATTATTGCCTTTGGAAATATATTTTAAAGTTTCAGCAAACACTTTTTCATAAAATGATTTATTTAAACAATATTACTATGCCAAGGTAAGGCTTATCCCAGTACCATAGCAACTGTAGGTACACATTTAATTTTGTGAGAAAGATGGAAAGAAAAATGTCTTGAGGTTGAAATGAATGTCTGTTGCCAATTCAATAATGTTAAATATCTCACATGAGGGAAAACCACTGGTTAGGGTGGTGATTTTTTAAATAACATTTTAATCTAAATAATATGATTTTTGTCATTCATGTTTTAACAAAAAAGAACCTTAGGAATTATTAAAACATTATACCAGTCACTGTTAGTTGTTGTATATATTACTTTTAAGAAATGCTTCATCTTAAAAAAAGGAAAAAAAATGTGGAAACTGATGACTATTATTTGACCAAGGACTTACTCATATGCAATTTTATTTAAAAGGAAATAAAGGTGTTGGAGGGAAAACATGTGCCTTGGCACTTGAATGTCATAAAACAGAATTAATATACTTTATTCTGTAAAGCTTTTTGAGAAAATAAGCTAATTCTCAGGAAGCTAAATACTTTTTTGTTGTTGCTCAAGGTAATTATTTACTGTAAAAGTAAGATTTCAAATTGTATTTTGTGACTAAAAACTTAATGAAATGGCATATACTGTTTTTTAAAATAAAAAACAAATTTATTTTAATGACCACTGATTAAGTTATATTAGTTCAATCCTCAGTTCCCAAGCTACCAAAAATTAAATATAGCTTAATTTTTACTTTACCTAAAATAACATTAAACCTCTACTTTGAGTATGCTTGAGTATATGCTACTGAGAAGATTTCATTGATTTCAAATTATTACGTTACTATTAAACACTGTAAAAAGTAAAATAGATATCTATGTAGCCAGTAATAGTGGATATATGCGAGTTAGGTCACCTTGTGATTGTGAAGGCACAGTGATAGTTAGTGGATGTTATGGTCTTAAGCAAGTTATCTTTTTTGATGTCTTAGCACTGCCATTCTCAAAATGTAGTGCAGAGAGGGTGACCAATTGTCCTGGTTTGCCCTGAAACTCAGGGTTTCCTTGAACTTGGGAGTAAAACTAGAATAGTTCTAGGCAAACCAGAAGGTTGTTCATCCTGTGTCCGCAAGACTCTTTCAAGAAGTCTGTAAAATCAAAACTATTTTCATAATAATACTATTTGTGTTTGTTTTACTCTTATACTCACTCAAGTGCACAGAGGAGTTTTCCAGAGGCTACAACAGGTATGATAATATACGCAACAGATTGAATTCAAAAGCAGCTAGGAGAACCCAACTGTCTTCTGTTAAGTCAGACAGAAAGAGATTTATAAAAATGTAAAACAATGACATTCTTATCACTAATTTTTTTTTGGTTTAGAAAAACAGTTATTTTACATAAATACATTTAGTTATTTTACCAGTAATGGACTAATTATTTTTGTTTTAAAAGGAATTAAATATTTCATAAAAGTTTGTTTTAATTTCTAACATAATATAACTGGAAATGTAGCCTACATGAACAAAAGCTCTTTAGGGCCCTTAATAATCTTAAATAGGACCAAAAAGTTTGAGAAACACCGCTTTAGAATGTTTCTACCTGAAGGCAGGAAAGACATTTATAAACAATATAACCCAGTGGATCTTTCAGCAGACTTTGTTTATGTGACCAGAAATCCTTCCTTGTCTTCCTGCTCTTACCTCTGGATATAGTGGGGTGGCTTTCCCTGTGCCCTAATTTCTGTACACATAGAGTAAAGATGGGTTAAGTCAGTTTACTCTGGCTTAAAATCACTCTAAATCACAATAGCTAAAACCATGAGCACACAAAAGAAACAACAACAAAAAACATTTATGGGAACTCAAAAGGACAGAAACAGTTTCATCAAGCTAAACTCATCTATACCATTTAATGGGAAAAAAATCTTATCGAGAGTGTCTTTGTTTTCCCAAAACTACTTGCATTTTTTCCATTACTGTTATTAGCATATTACCTATTGTTAATATTAATGAAAATAGATACACTACATGACTTCACCTAGCAGTTTTGAGACCAGAAAGAATTCTTGTTTATTTTATGGGTCTGAATTGTTGGTAGTGAAAATAATCAAAGCCACATGGCTTTGAAGAGCTGAGCCCATTCTACTATTGTTTCTGTTATCATCATCCTCTAGAAGATTGGTTTATAGTGCACCAACATAGAGGCTTGGCTGAAAGCTCTGGAACTGGGGAATATTTTTGACCACACAACCCTAGCAAAGCATCTTCTGCATCGGTTTTTCAATAAACACTTACTTGAGAGTGATGAACTGTGATAGAAATTGGACTATAATCATGCTATGCAATTCTTAGTATCAGCTAAGGAGGATACAGATCCACGGACAAAATACTAGCTATCTGATAATCTTTGTGTTGCAATAAATTGGTACAGAGCCTTATTTTATAGACATTCAGTTACTTTGAAAATATTTTAGGATGTTGGTTGATAAATTTTCAATGTACATGGTTCTAGCAGTGCAGATGCTTTTCATGCCGATCCCTATTAAAACGATTTATTTTATGTGCAACAACACTGCATTTGCACTTCTTAAATATGTATTTTTAAAAAATATTCATTTCCTTTCCAAGAGACCTGCCTTCCCTGAGATGATTTGGTGATAAGTGGGAATTTTTTATGTGAAGTTTTGCAGAATACTCATATCACAATTTGTAGATCTACTTTTAATTATTGTCATGTTGAAGAATGTCCTGTAGAGTGAATAGTTTGAGCAAACTCAACGTTTGAGGAAGTTCACCCATTCGTTCAACATTTCTCTACCACCTCTTTTTTTATTATTATTTTACTTTAGGTTCTAGGGTACATCTGCACAACATGCAGGTTTGTTACATATGTATACATGTGCCATGTTGGTGTGCTGCACCCATTAACTCATCATTTACATTAGGTATATCTCCTAATGCTATCCCTCCCCCCTCTCCCCACCCCATGACAGGTCCGGGTGTGTGATGTTCCTCACCCTGTGTCCAAGTGTTCTCATTGTTCAATTCCCACCTGTGAGCGAGAACATGTGGTGTTTGGTTTTCTGTCCTTGAGAGAGTTTGCTCAGAATGATGGTTTGCAGCTTCATCCATGTCCCTACAAAGGACATGAACTCATTCTTTTTTATGAC